TCTTCCTCTTCATTTTCCTCCTGTTTTTCCTCCTTTCCTCTTCCTTATTCTTTTTCATGTTTTTCTTTCTCTTCTTCTCCTTTTCCTTTTTCCTCTCTTTACATTCGTCTTATTTTTCTTCCTCTTATTGTTCCTCTTCTTCATTATCTTCTCCCGTTTATTTTCCTTCTTTCTCCCCTTCTATTTCTTTCTCTTCTTTTTTCCTCTTTTTCACCCTCTTTCTGTCCTTTCCCTTCCACTCTCTTTTGGATTCTCCCAATGCAGATACGTGTTTTTATAGATGAGCCAGCGATGAGTTTTGATATTGATGAGCGCTTAATCATTCAACCCAGTTGCGTCGTTCCAAAAGCGTTGATTTTTCAGTTAGAACCCGGCAAGAATGCAACGAGCTTGATTTAGGAGTCCTGCTGCGTTCAGATTTTGTAATTTCAGCGCTTGTTTAACGGCGAGCCCGCTTGAAAGCGGCGCCAGTGATGTCAACGGTGGTGGAAAGTTTTCATCATTATCCCAACGTTCAATTCGACGGAAAATCATGATTTGTAACAGATTCGCAACAGCGGATTATCCAAATTAGTTAATTATTTTCCTCTCCAGGAATGGGGGTGGGCTCCGGGTAAATACTCGTGTAGCAATTGAAATAAACGCTTGCCTCGTAGAATGATACTAAATCGTTCGGGATAACCTAGATCAAAGGGTAGCCCGGGAAACGCAAGGTCAAAGCGCGATTTCATTTCAGTTCATCTCTTGATAAAATGATCTTTTCAACTTGGCACCTCTAAAAAAAACATTGCTCTTCACGAAAAAGCGAGAAAGTACCAAAGGTTTCAACGAGAGCTGTTGATAGGTTTTCGCGGTATGATGATACGAACGGTTTGAAATCGAGAATGGCCTTAGAACTTGATTACTTGAGCCAAGAGGGTATAAATCTGGCACATAGATACAACACTAGGTAAAATTTCCACCGAACAGATAAGATCACTGAAAAAAAGCGAAGTTAGCTCCAAGCAGCGTACCCCTAAGCCTGTTAAGCAAACTCCCTGAGCCTCTTGGCCTTACCTTAAAAAGTGAAGGACCCAGAAAATTCTGACACACCCTGAAAAAGGCTATTATGAATTGTCCCTGATACTCTATAAATGAATTTATCGACGATCCCATCACCCCACACATTTATAAACTTATAGCTAAAGATATTTTGTTAATTTGTCAAAACCTGAGATAATTTGTTAAAACCTGCGAGATAATTGTTAACATCTAAGATAATTTGATAAAACTTAAGAAAATTTGCTATAACCTGACTAGTCTGTTAACAAACTGATCTGTTAATCTTCATTGCACCCATTGTGATCTGTACCTAGCGTAACTTACCATGTCTAATGTACAGCACTAAACTGAATTTGAATACCTACTGAATTTGAATTGAATTTGAGAACTCAGTATAGATTGTCTTCGATTTTAGTCGTTGATGCGATATTCTTGATTTTCTCTGCATATTTGGCATCTTTTGTTGGGGGCATGAAATAGCACAGAATTGAAGGGATGGATACTTTTGTGCTCAAGATATTTGATGCGACATAAAGAGTCAGATTCACCCAATAAAAAGAGTCAAATTCGCCCAATAAAAATATTTCAATACAACGACTCAAAGACTTCAATGGAAAGACTCATTAACTCTTCAGAAATTTGATCTCGCGTCAATGCAAGGGAGCGGTAGGGGTGAGGGCGGGGAGCAAATAAAAAAGGGAGTAAGGAAGAGAAGAAAGTAATACGGAAGTGAGAGGAGAGAAAACGAGAAAGAATGCGATACTCTGCAGCGTGAAACTGCCTTCAAAAAGTTGAATCTGCAATTTTCACTCAACCAGACGTAATAGCTACCTACGTGGCCCAAATGAATTACTCATCGTGGAATTCTCATACCTCACGATATTTAACTGTTTAGCTTATGATTTTGCGATGAAACCACTTTCAACTGTCGTGTTGTAGTTTCATTCGTAAAAGGATGTTCAAGACCAAGGGCGTAAAATACAAGTATACTTGTTAGAGGTATATCGTTGTGATACTTGAAATCAAACCGAAAAAATATGTGAAAAAAAAAATCATATTACTATTTCATCCATACTACTGGGGTTTGGTTAGCAAAGACTATTAAAAACGCAATAAGGGCCCATGTCTATACTGTGTATAAACTTTTAAATTTATCAATGTATCCCAAGCCCTGCCTGGATTGCTCTAGAATATTGTCTGACTCCCTGAAATCCACGCGCCATCATTGGTTAAAGAAAGAGTCGGGAAAAGGAAAATGAGTTTCGAGGCTGATCTCATGTTTGACGTGAAAGGGCGAGTGATTAAGAGAGGGTTTCGCTATTTTTCCCCTCATGTTGATTAGTCATCAACTAAACTTTACATTCACGTGGGCACAAAATTGGCGATATAAGCTTTGCATTCACACCTCAATCAATAGATACATCCGAGAAGCTATGGCGCGAATTTCATCATAAAAGCTCGAATGTGAGCAATTTGGAGCGGCAACTTATAAGAAGTTATGTCTTAAAGTTACACACAAGTTCTCGTCCTCTTAGGGGCAAAAGTTCACCTCTCATAACACTTTGAAGTAAACATCTGTGCACCGGAGCTGTGTTTGTTGATGATAAAACCCGCATGACAAAGACGGCTTAAAATCAAGTGAAGTGCACTTATCGATTTTAGCGTTTGAGACAGCCTTAAATAGTGACTTTGTATGGGTTTACTTACTTTGTATGAACATGATTTTTAATCATCGATTGCTGTTGAACATGTGTACAGTGACAGACCTGTGATGAAATTGAAGGACAACGTCAACGTGTAGCTAGGAATTTATCCTGAAAGGCGAGAAGGGGGAGGGGGGCAGGTAAAAAATTCCAGTTAATTGAAGAAATTTTCCTATTGGAGGTCGAACGTACAGATGATGGGGGAGGAAAAACAGGCACATCATCTCCCCTGGCTAACTCTACGACTCAGGCTCTTGAATCTCACCTGTGCTTTTATAGTTTATTTAAAACAAGCCAGTTCTATTATTTTTATCAGAAAAGCGACCAATAGTTTGACTTAAAAATTTTCGAGAATCATTTAAAATGCGAGGGAAATTTGCAGGAAATTTTAAGGCGTCATGTAGGGTGGTTCTTCTTGAAAAAATGACTATGGAAGGAAATGAGGCAACTCGTCACGCAGTTAGGCAATAAGGGCTTAATTTTCCTGGCTCACCCTTAAAAGATTTCTCTTGGATCAATTCAATGAAATTAGCATGCAATATATACCTACATCAAGGGTGTAAATATAATAGAAAATAAAGGGTTGCTTAGAGGTTAACAAGACACTGACCTTAAGAAAATCTTTAATTTAAATTGATCCAAGAAGAAAAGGTTTGTCTCGGCATACGCGGAGTCTCTATTCATAAGAGGGTTTGCATTAACTTTCTGAAGCCTATCGGCTAAAAGGAGAGTTTATTTACTTGCGACTGTAAACCAACGGCCGTTAAGCGACGCGTCGTATCGAGTAATTCGTTCAACAAACAAGCCGGTGTTTGAGAAACGTATTTGACGCACTACATCACCCGAAGCTCATCGGCCAACAATGAGGTAGTCAACAGTCAAAAACAAGAAGACCGATGACTGTGTCCAAATTTAATTTTATACCTCCGAATGATCAAATGAGAGAATGAAAAAGGAAGAAATAGAAAAATAAATACGTGAAATAATTAAGAGGCAGTTTCAACACAAAAAAGTTGAGGAGCCCGCTCATATCGAGGTTTAAACTAACTAAGAGTACGCCGACTATGAAATTGAACGGAAGAAGGATAGATATCTCGATTGTGAAGTCAAATATTATCGAAGGCGCCATTTTCCACCCTTTGAAGCACCACTTTAAAAATAAGACAAACGGAACCAACACAACATGGGAATAGAGCAGGAGAAAGGATGCGCGTCAACGAAGGCGCAGAGATACAACTATTCGTGCTTGATGGATGTCCGTGTGGTATCTTCAAAATTGAAGGCGCGCTGGCGCGAGGCGTGAACTCTCAATGTTTCGCTGCCGCTATAAAGGATGTTCCATGGTGACCAACAGCTATAAAATGGTCCCTTTTGATCAGAATTTGCTCGAAACTTGATCGTCTATCGAGGCCGACGGAAAACTGTACATTAGGAAATATTAGTCCTTGAGAGTAGAAGTTCCCACTTTCCGCAAAGAGTTTAGTGAAAGGTCCCTCTTTTACTTCGTCAAAACAAACCGAAAAGTAACACAATCTTTCTGTGCTAAAAAGCTATTAATGACCAACCGGTCTCTATTACTGCACTGTATATTTCCGTGCTGAGGGAAAACTCCGTATAAACATTCGTGAGTTGCCGAATTTCCTCAAATTTTATTTTTAAGGAGAGTTTTGAATATTTTCTTTTGACATTTTCAGATAATTTCGATCAGATTGAGTGATTGTAAATGAAATTCTCTGAAGTGTAGGTGGAGGAAAATTCGAAGATTCACTAAAAATTTGCTCCAGATTTTCCGGGAAATTTGTATTTTATCATAGGAAATTTGGCTACGTCTTAGGGCTCATATGGCGTTCCTCCTTATCACGGCAGTATAGTACTATAATTTTTTTTTTTTTTTTTTATAATGACGATTATGCGAGACAAGCTGCCTCACCAAGAAAAATCGATTGTTTTACATACATTTAAATGAATGAAAAACAGGGTCGCCAACTTTCAATAATTGTTACTGTGTAGCAGTGCCGTGGCGTGCTTTGCGATATATCAATATTCTCCCATTTGAAGCTATGGTAAAGAATCGATCATTAAGGTGTTCGCTGCCAACATCTTGTGTATCGATCCTTTTTCATAGGTTTAAATGGCAGATCAATCGATAAATCGCAATTCACGCCACGCCACCGCTGTATGGTGGAGACAAAATACAGAAGTAAACAAATAAGTTTGTTCGGCGGAAAGAGGGCGAAGCAGAAGTTCGGGATTTACCTGGAATTTGAGAAGACGTTGCTTTGGCGAAATCCCCAGATATCCTGCATCTTCTCGAGTCTTTCCCTCTCCTTATCATCCATCTGCTCCTCTTGCTCCTCGATCCTCTCCATCTCGTTGAACACCAGCGTCAGGTTGTCTTTGTCCGACGTCAAGATCCGATGACATTCCAGCCCTGATAACAAAAAACATTGAAAACCTTAATAGCATCTCTCAAAGCCTGTAATTTTATTTCAATATTCAAGAGGACCTGTAGCGTCCTATTTGAGGAAAACTAATAATTGCCGCTCACTGGAAAAAAACACATTGGATCTAGAGTCCAGACTCTTAAAAACATCGACAAGAAAAAGTACTCTTGATTCAATCAGAATCTATAGCTTAAATCAAGAACCAAGCCTCTTAATTTAAGCGGATTTCGTTTTGATTCAAGCAAAAATCCGATTGGATCAAGAGTGTTTTTTCTTGTCAATGTTTTCAAGAGTCTGGACTCTAGATCCAATGTGTTTTTTTTCCAGTGCTTACAGAAAATGACTCGAATTTTTTTTTTTTTTGGTCCCGTAGAGGAGGTCAAGGGGAATCAGTCGGTTAAAGATATCCTATTCGCAGTCAAATGTGCCTCAACTTCGTGTTACTAAGTCCTTGTGATAACGGGTTATTTGTTTTTCACATAGAATACAAAGAAAAAGGGCCAAAGAAGTGACGGAAGAAGAAGACGAGAGCTCGAAAATTACAATGATCACAGCGAAAATGCCAGAAATTCACGCTTAGTCTCACAATTCGCGAAAGAAACTTGCGCATTTTGGAGATACTCGCTTGTACAATCATACACCGAGAAAAAAGTTCCGATGATTTCGATCTAACTAACCAAAATAATTGGTGTTGTTGGCTGTGCAACAAACTTATTGGAGTTGTATGACAACTTTATGGAGCGGTCTCAATTGGATTGCATTTTGCAATAAGGAACCACTATCTCTGGCTCTTTCATAAAAGCACATATCTGCATAGGGAAACCAATGGCATGTATGTTGTTTCTAAAATGGGCCAGAAATAGTGGTTCCAAAATGTGATCCAATTAGTTGGACCACGACTCCAATGAAATATAGTTGTGGTCTACCTGGAGCTTTTCAGACTCTTCGTTCAAACTTCGATTATCCGAAGTTCAAACGCGATTTCGTAAAACGTGCAAATGACCCTTTTGATGCACAGTAACTAGTGTGGAATATCTTGGTATACAGCGGAGCTTTCATTTTGACGATGAACCGACAAAAACACGACCTTTAACTTCGCTCACATCTTAAAATATCTGCACCAATTTAATTTTTTCATGAGAATATTAATGAACATTTCTATACAAAACTTTCGGACACAAACGTTTTACCAAAATTATACGGACATTCGTCTTTCAAAGCAGCAAAATTTTACACAAATTCTGCAAAGTTGCGAACCAAAATACCAGCTTACGAAGTTTATGCATACGAAGTTTCAACTTTTACCAACGGCATGTAGAAGTTTTAATTTAAAAGCTTCATTTTGACGCAGGTAAAATGGATATGTTTTGGACATTTTTAAAGTATTGAAGAATATCAATACCTGTACGTATTATCAATGAGTTTTTCTTTTCTTTTTTTTAGATGAAAATTCAGCATTTATCGATGTGTTGACACTGCCCCACGGGCTAATAATGGAGACTAGAATGAACTTGAGTGCGGTCGTGACTTCTGAGCATCTCTGGAAATTTCCTTGTCCTCCGACAAAATTGGACGTATTTCTGTCAAACGGAACTATGTGCATCGAGACATGAGCCCTGAGACCCACAAAAATATATGCATAACAGGGCTCACGTCATAATGCACATAGTTCCGTTTGAAAGAAATACGTCCAATTCAAACCCAAGCACGTGCGCCTTCGGGGAACAGAAAATAATTATGCTCAACCAAGAGAAAATAAGCATTCGAGCTAGTAGAGCAAAGTAGAGCTATTGCATAAACTCTAAAGACCCCCGGGTTTGTGTAGTTCATTTTAAAATATGAAGGGAAACACGATAGTGCCGCTGATATTGGCCAAAATCTTCCTGAGCTCACAAAAACCTCTTGAAGTTAAGGCGGAAATGGCCATCGATTCTTGAATTATGGGAGTTGTAATTGGTCAAATCCGTGATGCTGAGATAGGAATTGATCTATGAGCAGGGTTGCCATCACGGCTTGAAAACTACTCGTTTTGGACTCTTGAAATATGCACGAAGGTGGCAATCAGCGATCCTGCTAATGTATTCAGACCCATCTCTGCACAGTTACTCTTCGTTGATTGAAGATGTGGACTTTTCAATAATTTAACCTTTATACAGCGCCACTTGGAGAGCTTTTCTTAAGCTTGACCGTGGATTTTTGGCATGGGAACCAGGAGATGAGTTTAGAGATTGGATGGAATTTGCGAATAATGGACAAAATCGGTGGCAGCAAACTTCTTGTTTGCGAAATTTTAGACAGATGATGTATTTCCGTTTGTGAAGTTGCAGACTGCTTATCATACTTTATTTTTTCTTTAGCAAACAAGTGAACATATTCTTAAAAACTGCCTTGATTTTTCTTCGCTGTTAGCAGAATATTCTGTAAAAAAATCTCAAGCTAAAAAGTTGGCTTTTTTCTCATTGAAAAGATAAAATAGAGGCGGGAATTTTGAAACATGAGAATGGTTATGCATTTTGGTCATCGATGTATTATGAAATCAACAATACCGAGACACTGATTAATTCAAATCGCCAAAATGGAGATTAATCAAGAAACCAACATTGTTGATTTTACTTCAAAATAACGTTTTCCCCAAATTTTCAGTTTTGTCGATCAAGCGGGAAACTACAAATTCCCATAAATCGAAAGAGTTATTTTTAATGCGTTAAGTGAGTGAAAAATTTTGGCTCCTCTGATACCCTCTCCTGAGACTAGTCTGAGGATTTTTCCTCGTGAGGAATACAAAATAGCTATGGGATATATTTCAAAGTCTAACCGAAACTGGCTTGCGGCGCTGAACCGAACTGTCAAATCTGACAATCGAGTCTAAGAAAAAAGCTATGGAGACTCCCTGCAGTTTTTTTTTTTCTGCTCGAGAGACATAAATCTTTCGATTGTCTTAAAACTTTGAGGGAAGTTACCTACTCCTATGAGTCTTAGCACAACATACACGAATATAATTGGAAATCACTGTGAATTTTGAAAGTAAGATAATGCGAGGATGTTGCTCGTAGTTAGATGTACATTAGTAATGAGACGACGTCTTCACAAAAACGTGCGAGGTGAAAGAAGAAACGGCAAAACTCCCCTTCCCCTCCTTCCTAACATCCTCCAAGGAGTTCTTCGGAGAAGTTGGTGAGGTATTGGATTCGGAGAGTTGTCGGTATAAGTTTTACAACTCACGACGGGAAGCAGATGCTGTCAGGAGCACTTCGGCGGTTTCCTCTTCTTTACTTTAACCGATTGATCTTACAGTCTCTGTGAATTTTAAATTCTCTCAAAGCTTCCATAAATAAAATAGGTTTTCAGGGGCTTCGCTCTCCCGCAGGAAAATGTACTTCAATTTCCCTCATACTAAGATAAAAATCCGACGGAATTTATTGTCACCTTCGTTTACAGACAGCTTTCATTGTGATTGTCAATAGCCTTAGATGAAGGGTTGCTGGTATCATTTTTGGTACATGCCGACGAATCATTAGAAGAGCGGAAGTATGAAAGCTGGTGAGCGCCATCAGATGTTGCTAAAATCGTACACGTGTTTCCCACTGTCAAAGAATCCACATACCTTCGCTCAAGGTACTTTTTATCAGGTAATTTTCTCTAGACTTTGGCATTATTTTCAACACAAGAATTGTATTCCCAGGTCGTTAGATGCTAGATTCCCGCTAAGTGAGAAAAATTCGCACAATCTCATAATGCTTACTAAACTTTGACTTGGACGTGTTTCTGCTTAACGGACACATATTATTAACATATTTTTTCCTTCAGTTTAAATGAGAGCAATCCACACAGAGCGTGCAAAAATTTCAAAATCATGAGTTGAAAAGCGCTGACTCTGCGAGTTCAAATACTAGAACCTAACACAGAGCGGAGCGGCGTGTTGGCAGCGCGAGACGCGCACTGGCGCCTACAAACCTAACGGGATACTTCATGCATTGCGCAATGCGTGAAGTATCCATGTTAGGTTTGTAGGCGCCTCGGCGCGTGTCACGCTGATTGTCCGCCGCGCCGCGGAGTGCTACGGCGCTTGAAGCAACTATTTCGCGCCAGAGGTGTTGCACAGTGTCATACGAGATTGAAGGCGCCCTAGCGTATCAATAATCCAGCTTCCTTTAAGAGTGCAGAGTACTTCCCCATCGAAATCTTGACAGAATCTTGACAGATTACTTCCCCATCGTTTCAGCCTCCACCGTTATTATATATAAACACGGATAAAATATTAAAATCGCCCTTAAATTAGAGATACCAGGCAAAGTATGTATTTTTATGGCACGGACATTAACTACATCCCCAAAGAATAATGGAAAATGCCGACCAGTGATGTGAAAAAGTGGTACATTTTTTCACTTTATATACCGCTCCTTTTCAGTTTTCTTCGTGAATTTTTTTTTTTAAGATACTGTGCATTTTATGGTCAAATTACCCAGCACTTATGTAGGGGACAAAAACATTTTTTCGTGCAAATTCTATACCTATGACGTTATTTTCGTAGTTTTAACGCTGGTTTGTGTTCGCTGCAGAGCCATGTCATCTTTCCTCTGACGTGAAGGCGTATCTCAATTTCCACATAAGCCGTTTTCTCCATGCAACTCTTTGCTTTTCGCGGCTCTTTGGATACGCCTTTACTACCGTGCTAAGGAAAAACGCCGTATGAACAGGAAATTTAGCAACAAAATTGCCAAATTTCCTTCGATAAAATGTTGTTTCTTGAGGAAAGTTATTAATATTTATCCTTGCAATTCTCAAGAACTTAAGGTAAAGTTGCAAACACAATTATCTGAAAAATTTGAAGAAAAATATTTAAAAACTCCCCCGAAAATTCGTGATTTACTAACGGAAATTTGGCAACGCCTGGAGGTTCATACGGCGTTTTTCCTTGGCACGGCAGGAGCGAAGATTTGGATACTGAGCCGAGGGGTGGAAGCGAGTCTTCATTGATAGTCTCGCA